TTTTTTTTTTTGTGACAGAGTTTCCCTCTTGTTGCTCAGGCTGGAGTGCAATGTCAGGATCTTGGCTTACCGCAACCTCCGCCTCCTGGGTTCAAGCGATTCCCTTGCCTCAGCCTCCCAAGTAGCTGAGGTTACAGGCATGTGCCACCGTGCCTAGTTAATTTTGTATTTTTCATAGAGATAGGGTTTCTCCATGTTGATCATGCTGGTCTCAAACTCCTGACCTCAGGTGATACACCCTCCTTGGCCTCCCAAAGGTGTTTTGTTTTTTAAACTTATTTATAATAAAAACGATATTTGCTTCTGGTAAACTAAAGTATAAATAAGAATTTAAAATAAAACTTAAGAAAAGAACATATTTCACTATCCTCTTTTCACTCCCAGTCCCATCTACAGAGTTTTGTATGTTTCCTTGTGTAATTTTAATAAACATGTTAGTAATGTGTACACATATGAATGCAAACATGCTATTTTACACAGATGAGAATATTCTCTTCTGTTTCTTGCTTGTCTTTTTAAACTTATTAATATATTTTGTATCTAATTTTTCTAATGACTGTATTCAGTACAATTTTAGAGTCGATCAATTTATAACCCCCTCTATCTTTTAGCATTTATGTCATTTCCAATATTAGTTTTACACACACAGTAGGCTAATTTCTATGCATTATTCTGTAAATATGTTAGTACTGTAAATTTTAACCAGATAATTGCCAAATGAAAGTATGAGTATGCTTTCATTTTTGACATTATTTACAAAATTTTCCTTTGCTTCTTAGGGACATTTAGTAATGCATTTATAAACTACTGGAAATCAGAAATTATGCCATTTGCTTCTTTGTGTATTTCATAGATATAGAAGGTTTTGAATAAATATTTGATATTTCTTTTTGTGATTTACTGATTTTTAAAATTAATACCTTAACATTTGATTCCATTCACAAGGGCAAACAAACATGATTATATTTATACAGATATTTTAATTATATGGCTAACTTTTTAAAGTTACTTTTTATGCCATTAGATCATACATTTTAATTAACTTTGTACGAAAATAGGTATATATTGGCAATATTATAGGATTTCCATTTTGATGATTCAGTATTTGGCTTCATTTTCCATGCCTCAGCCCATGTGTTTGACCAGAGGATTTCTGTCAGCTGTTTCTCAACCTTAAAATTAAAACAAACTAAAATATATAGCAGGGACATGAAGAGAAATAAAGCCAAATTATTTTTACTTTCCATTTTGCATCACTTTACAGTATGAGCATGTGGCTTTTTATTCAGGTTTTATACACTAAAATACACAAAAGTTGAGTTGAATACCAGTCATTATTGCTAGCAGAAACGAAGTCTGTTGTGCACAGCTGTGTTTAAAAGAATGGTGGTGTTTATAATGAAATGTTTTAGATATACAAAGTGTTTTGGCAGTTTACTAGAAATGTTCTTGAAAAGTTTACATATTTTTTTGAAAATAATTATTGATGTAAAGTGAATACTAATTATCAAAATAGACAAATCATTTGTGGGCTTATTGCAGCAAAGCCATTAAGAAAAAAAACTCTTAAACAACCAGGTGTTTAAAATTATGTATAATCTCAATAAGCCATTATAGTATTATGTTTAAAGTATTCAACTCAAATAGGAAATTTCAAACAAAAGAATGAGGCATGTCCAAAAATAAAATGAGAACCTACTTGGACTAAATAAGTAAAATTATGTTACAAGGTTTGGAAAATATGAAAAACAAATTTAAATGCCCAATGAAAAGAAAAATTATAGTTTCAATGTACTACTGATATTTAACGCCCTTTATATTTATATTGTCCTCCACACTGACTAGGTGATTGATGAATTCTATGCATTTGATTTCAAATTACACACACTGTTCAATGATGACATTACTTTTAACATTTTTTGGATTCAATCATGTCCATCAACCTTAAACTTTTTGTCAGTAGTTTGATAGGAGAGGCAATGTAGAAGCTCTAAATGCAGACTCTTCAAATGAGTGATTGCTATTTGATTTCTCTGTAGGAAAACCAACCTAAAGTAACAATCTTTGTTGATGCTTGCTCAGATCAGGTGGACCAAAACAGCAGGAAGTGCCTCTGACAGATTCCAAGACTCAAGTGTCTTCAATGAGACTTTGAGGATTACAAATATTCAGCGACACCAAGGAGGCCGGTATTACTGTAAAGCAGAGAATGGCTTGGGGTCCCCAGCGATAAAGTCAATCAGAGTGGATGTATACTGTAAGTAAATTTTCTAGAAAACTATCATTAAGCCTAGTATGGATTTCTTTTGTCCTATAAGTCTATGGTTTTCCCAAAAACCATAGTTCTGTTTAGTTGAGAATGAAAACGCTATAAAATAATGATAGCTCCCTTAAAACATTTCTGAAGAAGGAATCTTCTCTAGAAACTTTCATAACTTTTATGATATATATCCATTATAGAACACTTAGGAACAACATTAACAAGACAATACACATTGGTAATTCCACCAATAACTGCTAGTGTCTTCACATATATGTTCTTTATATATAAATATATACATGCATTTTATATTTTTATTAAAATAGGGTCATGCTATATGTTTTTTAACTTATGTCTGTTAATTTTACCTACATGTGAATACAGCTATTCTTTTTTTTTTAAATACACATCATACAAGCAGAGCCTTATGAATTGGCCTCTAAATGGCCAAAAATCACTATGTGTAGTCTGCTTATGGTCCAACTCTGTTAAAAGTAATCAGCACCAACCCTGGACAATGCTTTGCTACCTGAGAAGTGTTTGTTGATTTGTTGATAGTCTCGTTTTCCTACATTTTGCTCCTGACAATAATTCTTTAAATCTTTTTGGTCTCCTTGCTTCTTTCTCCACAAAAACAAAGCAAAGGCCTACATTTAGTTTGGTCTTTTGTCCAGGTTTTTTTTTTTAATCATTTCATTATGTTTTCACAAGAATTTGCATTTTATGTAAGTCTCTTATGTTGTAAGGTACTTTTTAAAAAGTAATTTAGATATAAGTAACAAGTGAGAAGATGTTGTTTTTCTTCCTATCTTCCTTTCTTTCCCCTTTCCTTTCTTTCAGTGCAGGACAGTGTGTTACATAGGTAAGAAAGGGCTTGAAATTACCTGTGGTCTATTTGTCGGATGCTCTGCTGAATCTCATTTAGTTGCTCAGGTGACTGAGAAATTGGTGATAAAGCAGCATTTGTAATTTGCTTTCCACATTCAGATACCTGCTTTCCTCCTGCTTTTCCTCCTCCTCTTCCTCCTCCTCGTTTCATCCTCTCCAGTATCTTCTATCTCCTGAGGCACCCTGCCCCTTATCCCTTGGCGTAATTTATAAATTTTCATCCCATGTCACCCTTTCATTGTTATTATGGGTGCGCAGGATGACCATACCTGCATACTTCCCAAAATAATAGAGCTCATTTTTTCCCTTTTCCTGACTCAATATTTTCAGTGTTTTTGTTCATATATAACTTTAAATTAGATTAAATTTAATTTACATGAATTAAATACTTTTGTAATATAATAGTCTAGAGTACATACTTCTGCTTTTTTAGTTATTGCAGTTTTAGGCCATCACATTTTAAATACACTTCTTCAATACTTTAGACACAATTATAAAATCTAAAAAAGTTCTGAAAGTCAGTGAGTATAATATGTTTGTAACTTTTGTAAGCAAAACTTGATGTGAACTAGTGTGGTGTCAAAATTTGATCTGAAATGACTTGAATAAAATGGAAAAAAAGAAAGAAAAATAGAAAAAAAGCTTTACACTCTTTATTTACCATACTTAGAATAATCACATTTTGCCCAGGAAATGTGTTGTATTACACGATATAGCCAAAGATCCAGCTAAGTGTGTTATATAGTAGATAGCATGTGTTGTATATTATCTTTCTAAAATCTGAAAATTTCTGAAACACATACTCCAAAGGTTTTGAACTTGGGATTTTGACTTGCATTTCTACAATAATAGGTCTGATAATTTAAAAAAAAGTATTGCTGTTTTAGCAAGTTAAACATAAAAGGGGAAATTCACATTTTTAAAGATTTAAAAAATATTTTTCTTTTTTTCCTTTTATTAGAGAGCCTTTTCATTGCTAGTCTGAATTATCCCTTCTCCTTTCTACCTCCTCATATCTCTTGCTGTGTAGACTGGGTTGTACCGAAGTATCTCATTCATATGGCATACCTTACTGGAAACAATAGCACTGCCCTCTCCGGGTTTCCCAAACCCTGCTAGCCTTCTAAGGCTTGACTCATCTTCCCTTCAGCCATGCCTGAAGATATCTGTTTGTTACCTTCCTCTTCTTTGACCTCCTTTGGGGTTTTTCTCATGCAATCTGGACTTGACAAGCATCTTGTTTTATGTTATTTCAGTGAAATATCATTGTGATCCATACCATGTTGAAGTGCTGTTTTCAGTACTTCTTTGGTGACTAGGATTTATTAAAAAGCTGTCTAAAATTATGCCATTTGAGAAAATAACATGATGTTAAGTTCTAGACTATATAAATAAACATGACATAGCTCTAATATAAAATCCCCAGAGAATGCCTTACTTTTAGCTCCAGAGGTCTTTCTACTATGCAGATGTAAACATACATTTAAAGTAGTTATGCCTATTTTTGAGGGTTTGAATAAATTTATTTAGATAGTAAATTTTCAAAAATGCTTTGAGTGGTATGAATACTTAATAGAGACCACTAGACCTATCAAAGAAACCCATGTGCTCCAAATATAACCTTGATTGAAGATCAGAGTTTTTAGGTTCAAGTACCTTTTCTCTACCTGAATTTCTATAGTTTAAAACATGCTTTATCATTGTTGTTAAGGACGCGACTAGCATATTCATGTTTTGTTTAAATTTGGCAATGTTGGTGTCTAAAGTTAAATTACAGTCTTTAAGATTTATTTGTGCTCTAATTTTGATTGGATGTTGGACAGCTTAATTGAATAGATATTCATTTATATAAACTATAAGCAAGTGAATGACAATATATTTTGGGTACTTTGCTTTATTCTAGGAAATGCTAAAAAGAATAGGATCTTTTTTTGTGTTTGGAATCATGCCTTTAAAATCATCCACTGCATTGTAGGTTTCTGTTTCTTTTTCTAAACTGATTTCACATGTGGAACTTTCAATGTGGTAGAATGTGGAAATAGGATATGCATAAAAACAAAATACACTCATGCAAAATTGGCAGTAAAAAATATATTTAAAACACCAGGCTGAGGCAGACTATGACTTGGATTTAACAAAAATAATAATTAATAATGTTATAATTTATTCTTGAATCCCTTGTTATAGATTGTCTCTAAAATCTGCCCCGTAAGCTATTGATGTATAATTAACACATAATGCATTAATATAATGTATCTTTAGTCTTATAGAGTTTTTATAATAGTGAAAATGGACATCTCTCATTAAATCCCATGTTCTGATACAAGTTTCTACTTTTAGAGCTAAAACCTTCCTAAAATAACATTATGTGGTAACCAGTCATTATTTTGATGAGGAAATTTAGTTTCAGGAAAGGAACTTGACACAATGGTGAATAATATAAAATGAGATGACTTTCTTTAGATAGATACTTTGAAATCTTTATAATAGCTATGTTAATATTTTGATTACTTTGAGAAAGTTTATGTATCTTCACTGGCAACTTTTTCTCATATAATTTTCTACAATTTAGTAGAAAATATTAAGCTGCATAGATTTTATAAAGGAACTACCAAATGCATTTTTTTACTGTGTTAATCAAGAATACAGTATGAAAAATTATTATAATCATGTTCCTCAATTTATAGGACCTATATTTTATCATTTAAGAATTGTAAAAGCATTCCAAGAGTTTTAGGAAATATAATTTATTGATAAAATATATTTACAGCCTGGTAGATTTTATAAGCACACTGTGACCTAAATTTCCCAAATCTGATTTGGTTATTTATGCAAATATGTCTAATCAAAAGCTAACCAATTCCAATTCTTTTTTTGTGTTTGGAAAAATCACTTCTGAGTATCTTCTGAGTGTCTGAACATGGTTTCCCCCAGGCCCATACAAATCTCATCTTGAATTGTAATCTCCATAATCTACACCTGTCAAGGGAGAGACCAGGTGGAGGTAATTGAGTCATGCTGTTCTTTTGATAGTGATTGAGTTCTCACGAGATCTGATGGTTTTTTGAGGGGCTCTTCCCTTGCACTTTTCCTTGTGAAGAAGGCTCTTACTACTTGTGAAGAAGGGGCTCTTTCCCTCCTTGGTTAGCACTGCTGCCTTGTGAAGAAGGTACCTTGCTTCCTCTTTGCCGTAGCCGTGATTGTGAGTTTACTGAGGTCTCACCAACCATGCCAAACTGTGAGTCAATCTTCTTTCTTTTGTGAATTACCAAGTCTTGGGCATTTTTTGATAGCAATATGAAAATAGACTAATACAATTAGTATTCTCAGAGAAAAAGGGAAAATAATGCTTTCATGTAACACGAACAGGAAAATACAAACAAGGGACTTTCAGAGAATATAAAATAGCAGCTCTAACATTATTAAAAGTGATAACATAAAAATAAGTAGAAGGGCTGAAAAAACAGTAAAAATGGTACAAGAATTTTACAATCAAGTGGGTACTACATAAGAAAGAAGATAAGAAAATTAGAGTGTTAGTCTAGCTGTCCTAACGTGAATAATAATAGTTCCACACAGATAAAGTCAAAGTGTTTTTTTTTTTTTTTTTTAAGAATTTCTTAGAGTTGGACATGTGTTTTTAATTAGAAAGCTACCACTGGATCTTTAACACAATGGAGTAAATTAAATCTTCACCAATACATGTGTCAGCTTGCAACTTCAAAACATTAGGAACAAAATGAAGATCTTAAAAATGTCCAAAGAGTTTTTATTTTTTCCAAAGTGGTCACATATAAAAAATTAGGAATCAAAATGGCACAAGTATGCACAGTTGAATTCTGGGTTTAGTAGTCAACTGAGTAAAGCTTTTGAAATTCTGAAGGAAAATTATTTCAACTAGAATCTTCTGTAAAGCCAGGCTATTTATTTCATATATCAAAGAAGAAGAAAGACGTTTTAGACCTATAAGATTTCAATGATTTTTGGCTGATACACTCTTGCTGAGGATACTACTTTGATCTATTTTCCACCAAACTTAAGAAGTAAACAAAAAAAGAGGAAGAAATATCATCCCCAAACTAGGAGACTATGTATAGGAAAATATTGAA